GAGATGCTTTCACCACACTTTTAGTTTGTATGGAGGCCCAGGTGACAGGTTAACACTTTTTTTTTTTTTTTTTTTTGGTAAAAGTGGCTTCTAAGTGGCTGTTTTGCCCAAATGGAGGTCCTCCCCATATCTCCTCCTCCTCCTCCTTCATCCCATCCTTCCTCATCATCTTTCCTCCTTCTCTTCCTCTCTTTCTCTACTCCTTCTTTAGTCTCTACCCTACCCCTCATCCTACCCTACCTCTCCTCCTCATGCCCCTCTCTTCATCTTCCTGTATCCATTTCTCCTCCCATCTTTCCTCTCTCTTTCTCTCTCTCCCTCTTTCACACACACACACACACACACACACACACACACACACACACACACACTTACACACAGGTTCATACTATGCAGTCCATATTGGTTTTGAGCTCCTCACCCTCACAAATGCTGGGATTACAGGCCTGCCCCAGCACACTTAGCTTATGACCAAACTTCTCAACTTAACCTTCAAGGCTTCTTGGGCTTGACTCGCAGCTTTCTTTCTGGTTCTTTCTATCTCGTGGCTAGAGTGCTTTCAATTTGCAAGGTACAGAAACCTACCATGTCAGTGGACACAGAGATAATAGAGCTGATGGAGGCATAGGGGCACTCCAGAGCCTCCATGACAACCCTTGTTTCTTCAGCCTGGGAAAGCCTTTCCCGTGTCCTCTTCGGAGGGCTCATCGGAGTTCTCACATGCACACTGTGTGACTGGCTGCTTCGACTGTATTTGTTCATTGACAAAAGTGGCTAGCATTTATCTACTACTTACCGTGGGGCATTGAGGAGGCAGATAACCTGTCTAGTAGGAACAGGGTGAGGGGCTGGCAAGTGAGGTCTGTCCCTAAACTATGCCAGTCACCTTGCTTGCCTCACCTTAGTCCAAGCCCAGCTGACTCACCATCACCCGTGCTCATCCCTGGTCATCCAGTGACATGTGCTAAATGGGAAGGGGCACAGAGACATGGAACTCAGCCTCTGCTCTTCATATTTACTGATATAGGCGCCTGCCTGGGAACTCACACCTCTAGTAGGCAAGTAAGGATCACTATAATGTTCACTTTACAGATGACAAAAATGAGGCACAGAATGGTCAAGCAACTTACCCAGAGAACCACAGCCAGCAAATGGAAGAAGGACCAGTTCATTCCACCTCTTTTGAATTGATCTACCATATCAGGCCAAGCCTCTGAGATATCCCACACCCCCAAAAGAGCTCTCTCTGCCTCTCCCTGCTAGACTTTTGCTGAGCCCTACTCTGAATTCTGTTGTAGGAAGTGAGGATTCTCTGTCCTGGCAGAGAATCCAGAGCCTTGTATAGCCATGATGGGCAGGTAAGCACATAAACAGCAAGTACCAAGAAGTGCTGGAGAAAAAAAAAAATCAAGAGCCTTCTTGGAAACAGAGCTGCTGGGTGGGGTCTGGGTCCCGTTTGTGCACCTCACATGAGACTCATTGAGCACAGCACAGGAGCTGCTGGAGTGAGCTGGCTGCCTTGTTAGGTTCCTCCCAGGCATTAGAGGAAGTGGGGACAGGCACTTGAGACACCTCAGTTACAGACCAAGCCGAAGCAGCCAGGGCTAGCACTCTCAGCAGCAGCCAGCTGTGTGAACCCCTCTTCCCTTCCCCCCAGTGGCCACCCGCCTGCTGGAGGCTTCAGGCTTGTTTGAGATGGCTTTTTATTGAATCTGACTAGCCTGGAAATAATTGCAGTAATATTATTGACATTAATAGTACACCAGAATGTATTTATATCTTGCTTCTTTCTCAACTAAAATTCAATGTCATCACTCTCGCTCTGGGTGGCAGGCCTCCAATGACAGGGCCTGCCATAGAGCTTTGGAAGGTGTGGAGTTGGGAGGCATCTGTCCAAGGTACCACACCTGTCTGGGAGGCCTTGAGTTTGAAGCCACAAGCGTTGGAGTTTAAGCTGTTTTTCACACAGCTGTCAGTAGGGCATGCCTTTACGGGTGGTGGTAGTGTGCGTGAGGGGGTTTGATGGGGTTCCCACAAAGGGACAGATGGTGGGCTTCTTTTGAAAGGTCCTGAAGCTGATAAAGATGGAGTGCTGGGTGAACAGCATTTATCTAGCATCTTAGCCATCCCAGCCCCACCAAATAAGCTTGCCTGCTCTATCCCATGCCTCCTCCTCGGTGGGGGCTACTGTATCCTCTGAAATCCCTCACATTCCCTCCCCTTCCAGTTTCTTTCTTGTCCCCAAGAGTCTTAGATAGGAAGCAGGAACTTGTTCTCCATGCTATGCCTTCCAGTGATCCCAGAGCTGCCTGACTTGGTGTTTTATTCCAGCTGTGCAAGAAAGCCTTGAGTCTCAAAACCTAGACTCCTTATTATTCACTAGGTTTATTTTACAAGTCATTTGGGACTTAAACACAAAAAGGCTTCTTGCTACTATTTTATTCTAAAGAGTGTGTAAAATGTACACATATGGTTTAAAGAAGAATAATAAACTAAAACACCCATACATTCACATCTGCCATGAGAAACAGAACATTGTGGGGCTGGAGGAGGCCCCTGTGGATTTATTCTCCCTCATCTCTCTCTGCTACTGGAGTTTCACACCAATTGCTTCCTTCCTCCCCCCCCCACTCCGTTTTATAAAGTTTCACCAGGCATGCAGGTATTCCTAAACAATGCATTAATTTAGCTCTGCCTGACTCTAACTTCATGCTATAAGGGAGCTATACAATAGATTTTTTTTTCTTCTTAGACTCTGCAATGTATTTTGGGGAGTCATGCATTTTTAATGGGAGCAGTTGTGGCTTATTTCTTTTTATTTCTAAGTAGTATCCCAAGATATGAATATTGTGCAATTTATTTGCTCTGTCTAGTACTGGTGGAAATTAGGATCTGGGCAATTAGAAATGTCACCATGAATATTCATTTGTAGCGTTGTCCTCAGCCTGTTGGCTTTGACAGCAAGTGCAGAATTTCAGGGTCTGATTCCAGAGCAACCAGATCCAAATTTGCATTTTTAAAAATTTTTGTTTTTTCAAGTGTGGCATGAAATATTTATTTTTCAAGACAGGGTCTCTTTCACACATATGCCAGGCTGGTCTTAAATTTGATGTGTAGCTGAGGATGACCTTGAACCTCTGATCCTTCGGAGTCCACCTCGATAGTCCTGGGGTTACGGGTATGCAGCACCGCTTACCGAGGGAGGTACTGAGGATTTAACTTAGGGCTTTGTGACTGCTAAGCAAGCATTCCACCAGCTGAGCTACATCCTCAGCCCCAGAGTTTGCCTCTGAGCACAGTTGGAAGCAAGTTAAAGTTTGAGGTGCAGGGCTCTGTGTGGCTGCTTCTGTCCCTGGAGGTACAAACATGGAGCCTGAGGGTAAGCACACACTCTACTGTTCCTGAAGATACTGGCCAGTGCTTTTACAAAGTGGCTCTGCCAACATCCACTCGTCCCAGTGGAGGATGAGGCTCCCTGTTGGTCTCTTGGTAGGTGGGAAGCTGAATTCAGAGTTTTCTTTGTCATTTGTCTATTTCCCGACACGAGCCAATTGAAGCTGGTGCTGAGGCTCTGGGTCCACAGTTACGGGAAGTCGAATGAGACACCACTTCTCAGATCGTTGTGGGCCATCATCCTTTCCATCCTAGAAAAATGGCAGTTTATGCCTTTGCTCACTTCTCTTCCTCTTCCTTTTTCTGCTTTTCCTCCTCCTTTGCCTGTGTGTGCACACAGAGCGCAGAGGTCAACCCATGTATTATTTCTTAGAAACCATCTGCCTTTTTGTCTTTTAAGGGTTTGTTTCATTATTTCAGTTTGTGCATGTGTGTGGATCTGTGTGGGAATGTGCACAAGAGTTTAAGTGTCCACAGAGGCCAGTAGAGGCCAGTGGATCCCTTGGAACTGGAATTGCAGACGGTTGCAAGCTTCCTGGTGTAGTTATTAGAAACTGAAGTTGGGTTCCTTGAAAGAGCAATACATGCTCTTAACCACTGAACCATCTCACCAGCCCCCACCTTGTTTTGTTGAGAGAGAATCATTTCACTGAACTTGGAGTTTACCCAGTAGGCTAGGCTGGCCAGTGAGCCCCAAGATCCATCTGCCCAACCCCGAGATTACAAGTTTGTGCCACTGTGCCTGGCTTTACCTGGGTGTGGGGGATCAAACTTGGGGCCTCGTGTTTGGGTGGCAAGCACCTCACTGGCTGAGCCATCTTCCCAGCATTCACTCATTGTCTTATGAGACTGGTTGTACTTTACTAATCTATTCATAGGAGATGTGCGTGTGGGGACTTTTATGCCTGCATCCACGAGGCAGGTAGTAGGCAGGGTTTGGACCGCAACCTCCCTTCCCCAGGAGTAAAGCAGAGCAAAAGTTCTAGTCCTTCTTTGCAGCCCTGTTGGGACCATGACACAGTGAAGGAGTGAGGGCAATGTTCATTTGCTCTGTCCATAGTGCTGCAGAAGGCGTGGCTTAAGTAACAGATGCATTTCCTATTGACCTTCTGTAGGTTGGAAGCCCAGGATAAGGGTGTCAGCATGTCCTTTCAGAGTCTCTCTCCTTGACTGTGACCGCTACCCTCCCACTATGCCCTCATAGTCTCTGGTATGTCTGGGTCCCAATCTCTCTCTGTCTCTCTTAATTTTAATTTTGTTTGAGAATTTCATACATGAATACTGTATTTATGTCATTTCCTCCCTCTCCTCTCTTCTCCCTCCATCCCCTCCCATGCCCACTTATTTTCCTTTCAAATTCATGGCTTCTGTTTCTTATGTTACATGTATGCATATATACGAATATATAAACGCAACCTGCTGAGCCCATTTTGTGTTTCCTCTGTGCGCCTGTGTTTAGGGATGGCCGCTTGGGATTGATGACCTACCTGGACACTTGCCTCTGGAGAGTCTCCTCTCTCCTAGTTATTGATAGCCTATAGCTCTCACTTAGGAGTGGGAGCTTGTGAGACTGCCGCCATTCATGTTGCCTTGTCAACTGGTGTCATTGGGCAAGTCTTGTTCAGGCGGTCATATTGTTGAGATGGCCCTCTCTAACAAGGACTCCAGTCATAATGGACTAAAGAATCCACTCACACAACTTTATTTGACCTTAATATGTCACTAGAAGTCATTTTCTGTCTTTAAAGTTCCTGTTTCCAAGGTCAATGCTTCTCAAGCTATTGAAAGGCAGGTCTTCAGCACATGAATTTGGGTCTTTGGGTGTGTGGCAGGCACACAAGTCAAGGCCATAACACAAATGTAAGTCACCTCTGCTCCCAGAGGTTGAAACTGTCCCACAGGTTTCCGCAGCCTCTGCTTGTCATTTGGCAGGGACCCCAGAATCCACCTGCTTTAGAGGGTATAGTGAGAGAGGACTCACCCTCGGTCCCTGTATCACACTGTGGAATACCAGCCTCCTGTGTGACACCTGTGATAATCAGAAAGAATCCAGGTTGGCTGTACCAGGCCTTCCACTGAGATCTTGAGATTTGCTGCTGGAAAATAAAAGATCTATTTTATTATCAACTTACTAGGTTTTGCACGGGATTCAACTGTTTCTTTCTTTTATTATCCTTATCTGCCTTTGGAATTAAGATTATGCTAGTTCTTCAGATGGTCTGAGGCAGGTGTCTCCCCCCTCTCCCTTAATGATCTGCAAGACCAGTTCCTAAAACATTGGGTAGAAAATTTCTGATAAATCATTTGGAACGTGATATTTTTCCCGTCCTGGAAGAGTTCTAGCTAATAATTCAATTTCTTTAAAGGTCATTAGCCTCTCTAGGTTTTCTCCTGATTCTTGGATAAGTTGTATTTTTCAAGAATTTATCCATTTTGTCTAAGTTTTACAATTTATCACTAAGTTTTTTTTTCAGACCCTTTTCATGGGTTTTAACCCTGTCAGTTGTGGCCCCTGTTTAATTCTTCGTATTATTTTCCAGCCCCTCTCCCTAGCGCTTCTTTGGTTTGCTCTGACTGGTCTTGTAAGGCGATGGTCTTTTAAACAATTTATGCGTATGTGTAGTGCTCGTGTGGGTGTGGCATGTGTGTGTGCCTGTGTTCTTGCACATGCCGTGCACATGTGTGTGGAGGCAGTGGCTGCTGTCTTCCTCTCTTGCTCCCATTACTGTTTTTTGAGGCAGGGTCTCCCCTGAACCTGGAGCTCATGGATTATGCTGGGCTGGCTGGTCAGCGAGCTCCAGGAATACACTCATCTCTGCCTCCTGCTGTGGGGATTACAGATGCAGGAGCAGACCTCTTCATGTGGGTGCTGGGAATTGGACTCAGGTCCTCATGTTTGATTGGCAAGCACTTTATCAACTGAGCCATCTTCCCAGCCTCCTCAGACGATCTTCTTATTTTTGCAAAGCTTTTCTCAAAAAGCAGGTGTTAGGCTTCTGGTATTTCTCCCTGTTGAACTTTATTTTGTGTCTTTCATCTAACTCTAACCTCTAACATTCTCTACTTTCACTAGGTCTGTTCTGCTGGTGTTCTTTGGATTTCTTCAGCTGATGCGCACTTTCCGAGTCTGTATGCACAGTGAAAACAGGAGCTTTCTTCTACATACTGCGTAAGTTGCACGGTTAAAATTTTTACATGGAATAAATATGCTCTTACTTATTTAAGGTTTTTCTTTCTGTCTCTGTCTGTCTGTCTCTCTCCCTCTCTCTCTCTGTCTCTCCCCTCTTTCTGTCTCTCTCTGTCTGTTTCTCTCTGTATTTGTCTCTCTCTGTGTCTCTGTCCATTTCTGTCTCTGTCTCTCTCTGCTGTTGTATGGTCCAAACTTGTGATCTTCCTGTCTCAGCCTCCTAAGTACTGGAATCACAGATACAAGCTATTTTGCCACACATCACACATACTCACATGCACACACACACACACACACACACACACACACACACACACACACAGTTTTGGCAACAGAGTCTAACTATGTATCCCATGTATCCCTGGTTGGCCTGGAACTTGCTATGTAAACCAGGCTGGACTCAAACTCATAGAGGTCTTCCTGGCTCTATCTCCTGAGTGCTGGGATTAAATGTGTGCTCTACTATGCCTAGTACAGTTACTTTTTTTTTTTTCACTGAATTTCTTACCTGACCACATTAGAGACAAAACTTGTTGGCGCCAGCTCCATCTATGGCCTGGATAAGGTTTTGTAGGGTTTCCACAGGACTCCGCAGTAAACATGTGTCCTGCTGCTGCTGGGTGCAGACTCCTCTACGGAATTCTTCCTCCGTTGTGTTTGCAGGTTTTCTGTATTCTTGCTTAAAAAAAAAAAAAATTGGTCTGGTCGATCAATTATTCAGACAGATGTATTAAAAATCTTTCACTCTGATGGAGAATTTTTCTGTTTCTCCCTGTGGTTTGTCAATTTGTATTTTATGTGTTCTGTATTTTGCATTTTGGTGCATGCAAGTTTAGATGCCGAATGGATATATTTTTCTGATTCATTGAACCCTTTATCATGGTGTAGGAAGTCTTTATTTTCACCAGTCCTTTTTGTTTAAAAGTCCGTCTCACGTGATGTCAATACCGTGGCAGCAACAGCCTTTTGCTTGGAATTTTCTTGTCACAGCCACCTCGGCTCCCTGCACTTAGACAGCAGTGGCATAAGCCCCAGGGGCCGTGTGCGCCAAGCAATGGTTCTACCACTGAGCGACACTCCACGCCCACTTGTTTTCTTTGATTTAGGGTTTGGTAATTGAAATTCTGGTTTTCCCATCTCTCCCCAACCATGCTGCCCTACTTGAGTTTCTGCCTCTGTGATAAAACTTTCACCACAGTCTGTTTGCAGAAGAAAAGATTTATCTGGCTTACAGACTGTAGACAAACAGCAAGCCGTGGCAGGAACCTGGAGGCAGGCGCTGAAGCAGAGGCCACGAAGAATGCTGCTTACTGCCTTGCTCTGCATGGCTTTGCTTAGCCTGCATTCTTATACCACCTAGGACCTCCTGCCCAGGGGCGGCATCACCCACAGTGGGCTGGGCCCCTTTCATATCAATCATTAACCAAGGAAATGTCTTAAGGGCATGTCCATAGGCCAATCTGATGGAGGCCATCCCCCTTTGAGACTCTCTCTCTTTCCAGGTGACTCTTGTCTGTGCTAAGTTGACAAAAACTAACCGCCACACACGCTTAGAAAGATTTCTTTTTAAGTTTTGTAAGCTCAATCTTTCAAATCAAATTCTAATTCATCCCCAAGCACACCCCAGTTAATTTTGACTACCTTTTTACTTTCCCTTTCACTTAGAATGACTTTCCTTTTACTTCCTGTTTGTGTGTGTGCATGCAGAGGCCAGAGGGTGACATCAGGGTCTTCTGTTATTCTCTTATCTTTTGAGACGGGGTCTGGCTTACTCTCTCCCCCATCCCCACCTCTTTCTTTCCCCAGACCTTGCCTGTTTGGACCAGCCTGGTTGACCACCTCACCCCAGGGATCTTCCTGTCTCTGCCTCCCCAATGCTGGCATTGCAGGCACACTCCGTTCGGTTTTCTTTGTGCCTTTGCATGGTTCGTTCTGTTGGGTGCTAAGGGATCAAGCTCGGGTCTTCACAATTGCACAGCAAGCACTTTCTCACCGAGCCGGTGTGACACTTCTTCACCTTCTATTTTGAGATGGAGTCTCTCAGTAAACCTGGAGCTTGCCATTTTGAGTAAAACAGCTGGCCAATGAGCCCCAGGGATTGCCACTCCCCACTGGTCACAGGTTAACTCCTCTGGGTTACAGATCGGTGGCACTGACCAAAGTTTATGCCTTCCTGTTTGCACAGCAAACATTTTACCCACTGGGACAGCTCCCCAGTGCTGGCTGCCTTAAAAAAATCATTTTCAGTTCATTTTTCTATCTGCTCGTTGGATTATAGACTCTGTGCCTATTTTATTTCAGAGTTATTCTAGTTGGTGTGTGTGCGCTTGACCTAAGAAGGATTAAAATTATAGAACACACCTCCATTCTTCTTAACTCATACAAGAATAGGAATTTGGCCTCCCTTCCTAAATTGTTCACTATTTAAAAAAAACAAAAAAACAAAAAAAAACCTACTTCTTTAGTTGCAGCTTCATAAATTTCCGAATTTTTTTATACCAGCCCCCCCAATTCCACGGGGCTTAGGGAGGAGCTGGCATTAAGTCCTCCAGTGGTAGACATCAGGACCTGATCCTTCAGTGGAAATGACAGCTTTCTGGGATGTCCAGAGACTGCATCCTTGGACCCAAATGTCCACTCTACCTCTGGCTTTGAGATTAAGTAGACTGTATCTTCTTGTAGCTTTTTCTGTTCCTGTCATACCATTGGCTTTCATGTTAAGGAGGCACTGGCCTCCCCTCACGGTTGAGAAGTGTCTGTTTATCTTAAGGTGTTTATGTAGTGTTGCATCGTTCTTTCCAGAAATGTCTGAAGAACTTTACCACGTGATATACATAGTTTTCTTCATAGAAGAGGTTTTAAATTACTTATTTAATTCTTTTAATAAATGCAGGAATGGAAAGTCTATGAGTTGCTTTTTGAATGAGCTTTGATAATTTGCATCTTTCAAGAACTATGTCCATTCAATCCAAGACACTAATAGGTGTCCACAGTATTTCTTTATCATCTTGCTGGTGTCTGTTGGATCTGGAATGATGTATCTTTCTTTATGCTTGTTAGTGATAATTTTGTTCTCTCTCTTATTCTCTCTTGTGTGTGCTCATGTGTGGCGGTCAGAGGTCAACATCAGTTGTCTTCTTCAGTTGTTCTCCACCTTTTTTTTTTTTCATGAAGCAGGGTCTCTCATTGAACCTGAAGCCCACTTATCAGTACTTAAGCTGTCTGGCCAGTGAGTTCCAGAGGTCTCCCTGCCTCTGCCTCCCCAGCTTCTACTGCTCCTGGCTTTTTACATTGGTGCTTGGTATCTGAACTCGGGCCCTCATGACTGCACAGAAAGTACTTTACCAACTGAGCCATCTCTCAAATTTCTAATTTTTTCTGCTTCTTCGCTTTTTCCTTATCAGTTTGGCTGCACATTGACCTTCACAGTGAGTTAGCATTTCACTGTGCCCAGTTGGATGCACTCCCTTCGATACTAGTATTTTCTGCTCTTCATCGTCCTTCCTTTCTCCTTTCTTGAGGTTTAAACTGATCTTCCTTTAATATATTTTTCTCTTTTTTTAATACATTTTTCTCTGTATTGCACATAATACAGAATTATTATATTCAAACCCATGTCGATCACTGTCTACACCTCAAGTTGTATATAAGAAATTAGATGAGAACAATATACAAGAAAGAAAGATTGGCAGCAGTAAAAACTCACTCAACTTCCTGTCCTGAACACTGCTTTCAGACAGAAAGCAATGTTTTCTTAAAAAAATATATATATGTATATATATATATATATACATATATATATATATTTTATTTTATGTGTATGGGTGGGGTTTTCTTGTTTTTGTTTTTGTTTTGTTTTTTTGTCTTCATGTATAAATGTGCACACATATGTGCAATGCCCTTAAAGGCCAGAAGTGGGCACTGGATCTCATGGAACTGGAGTTACAAACTGTTGTGAGACACTGTGTGGGTCTTGGGAACTGAATGCAGGTCTTTAGAAGAGCACTCAGTGCTTCCAACCACTGAGCCATCTTTCCAGTCCCAAGGTATATCTTGATCTGACAGTCTAAGTCATCACAGATGAACATTTCAGGGCTATTAGGCCAGACATTTGTCTGGCAGGATGATAGACTAATGCTTTTCTAGAGAAAACTTAAGCCACTTTTCCCAGGCTCTTCATGTGGGACGGATGCTTTGGGGCTTCCACCTGGGAAACGTTCTGCAGAGACTCCAGTTCCAGCCAGACTTTTTGTTGTCATTGTTAGTGGTGCCCAAAGCTTTGAAAATCCTGAGGGGTTCATTTCTGAGACCCCACAAAAAAGCATCTCTTGGTTGTGAGTTCTGCAATTGTGGTATCTACACCTCAAACGTCAATGGGGGTGGAGTGCTGAGCTGATCCCTGAAAGGCTTTTGGAGAGGGAGCATCACTACCCTGTCGACTCTAATTGCCATTTCAAGAGCTCAGGTAAGGGTAAAGCCAGCCATTTGATGGTTTCTTTGTCCATCCATTGATAGCTTCGGAGGTCTTAAGAGTCTGCGAAGAACTCCCTGGGAGAGACAAACACAGTCCCCCGATGGACTTGGATTAAGTAACTCAGCAACTGGAGGAGCCAGGAGCTGGTCAGGAGGGACAGAGTCCAAGTCTTCTTGAGATCCATGGAAGGAAATTTGAAAATGAGCTAAAGCCTGGAGCCCTTCCAAAGCACATCTTCAGGACTGGCTGTATTTGAATAACAAAGTTCTTTTAGTGGAGAAATTTTCTAAATTGCAGTTCTAGGAATGCCTTCTTCAATCTTCAATCTCTACTGTAATTATTTTCTTTCAAAATAATTTTTATGTTATTTTTAATTACTTTACATTATGTGTTTGTGTGTGTGTGTGTGTGTGTGTGCGCGTGCGCGCGCTCTCGCATGCTCGCACTCGCTCGCGTCCTGTATATTTAGGTAGCCACAGAGGCCAGAAATAGCAGATGCCCCTGGAACTGCAGGTATGGGAAGTTGTGAGCCACCTGATGTGGGTGCTGGGAACTAAACTTGGGTCCTCTGAAAGAACAGTGGGTGCTCTTAGCTGCCGAGCCATCTCTCCATCCCCTAGTTTAATTTTTATCCATGGCCATCACGTGACCTGTGTCTACCCGTATACACAACTCTGAAAGTGCCTTCTCCAGTTTCCTCTATTTTGATATAGTCCTTAGCAGTCACTTGTCAAGTTAATAGACCCTGGTGTGTCACTCCACAGAGGCCTTCGGATAAGCTCCTAGTCTCCCCTCCCTTAACTTCAAGAGCCCCCTTTTTTCTTAAGGAGGTTTTTATTAATGAACTTATGTATATGTGTATATTGTACATGTCTAGTGTGTGTCCATAAGTATATACTCATGTACTCCCAGTGCATGTACACGTGGAGAGTTCAGCATGGCTAACTAGCTCCTGGGATACATCTGTTTCTGACACCTGTCTTGGGTTACATGCACATCCAGCCATACCTAGCTTTTAACAGGGTGCTGGGGATTTGAACTCAGGTCCTCATGATTGCACAGCATGCACTCTTAACCCACTGAACCATCTCCCGAGCCTTCATCATTTTGTAAAACCAAAATTTAGATGATTTGAGACCTTCCTTCCTGTCTTCCTATTTGGGGTGGAAAATCATACATTTCTCTTGAAACATTATGTTTACTGACCACGGAAATTTTAGTATGCATGTTTCTTTTTTTTATTCAGTTCAAAAATAGTTTGTAATCTCTCTGTATCTTTCTCTGGAACTCATTAGAGTCATGCTGCTTAGTTTCAAACACTTTGGACTCTGCCCCCGATTTCTACATTTTTGTCTGTGTCTAGGTGTGCAGTTTCAGTCTTTTCCAAAGCATCTTGTGGCCTAAAACATAACCCACATACACTTGAGAAGAATATGCTGTTGCCGGCTGGGTGCTCTCTGGCCACTAGGGCATCATTAGCAGGTTGGTGAATGCTCCCTGGGGCCTCTGTTTTCATTGCCTGCGGTTATCCAGTCAGTCACTGAGATGGAAGTATTGAGACTCGAACCACATCTGTAACTTTGCTGATGTCCTTTCAACTCTCAACAGTAACCACATCTGTGACTTTGCTGACATCCTTTCAACTCTCAACAGTCTCTTCTGTGTGTAGCTTGAGGTTCTGCTGTTCGGCACAACCTTTAAGACAGTGGTCCTCAACTTTCCTAAGTTCCTCGTGTTGTGGTCTTCCCCCAACCATAAAATTATTTCATTGCTACTTCATAACTATAATTTTGCTACCGTTATGGATTGTAATATAAATCTGATGTGTGACACCAAGGGGGTTGCAACAAACAGGTTTAGAACCACTGCTTTAAGGTAGCCTCTTCATGAATTGATCCTAATAATTCTGATATCATAATTGATATCATAACATCATAATTGATCCTCTGTTATGAAGCAACACCCCTATTTATCTTTCTCTTAGATGATATTCTGCAGTCTAGTTTTCCTACTTTTAATATAGTTAGTTTTGTTAGTGCTTGTGTGTGTGTATTGTTTCTTGTTTCTGTCTCTATGTTTAAAGAGACACACAATGAGGTGGCTCAGTGGTTAAAGCGTTTGCCACAGAGCCTGACAGCTTGGATTCTATCTCAGAACCCATGTTTAAAAAATAGTGGGCTGGAGTGATGGCTCAGAGGTCAGGAGTGCCTGCTACTCTTGCAGAGGACCTGAGTTCAGCTCCCAGGTCACAATGACTGCCTGTAACTTCAATTCCAAAGATCTGGTGCCCTATGTACCTCTTGTGTGCACACACTCACACACAAACACACACTCAGGCTCACACACGCTCACACACAATTAAAATAAAAAGCTTAAAGGCTGGGTGAAATGGTGCACATCTGTAACCCAGCATGCCTATGGAGAGATGGAAGGTGGACACAGGAAAATCAGTTAGAAAGAAGCCTGTGGGATACCTGGCCTGGAGTCTGCAGAAGGAAATAGCAAGAGACCCAGCATTAAACCATGTGCAGCAGAGAACTCATACCCCAAAGCTGTCCTCCGGTCTCCACAAGTATAGATATGCC